TTCTAAAATTGGTCTGATAAGAATCAGCCAAAGATTTTATAAAATACAGAATAGAATCCTCGGCCCTGGCTCAAAGCTTACTGAATTGGGATTTCCTGAGAAGGAGTCTAAGAATCTGTATTTCATACCACATGGTTCTATTATTAGGTAAGTTTATGAAATCTTGACATAATAGGTAGCACCTACCGCCCCCCAAAAAAAAATTAACGGTTACTCCTCAAATAATGTGTATCCAGTTGAGCTGCCACACACAAGGTCGGTCTCTCCATAAATATAACTGCCTGCGCAGGGAAGAAGCCTTTGACTACAGTCTCATTAGCATCATGCTGTGACCAACTGGGCCTGCCAGCCCAAACAACCTCACAGGAAGGGGTCAAGAAAAAATCCAAAATTGACACTCAAAAGGGCTAAAAGTGGAAAAAGGCCACCAACTCTGGATCTAGCAGAGTTGTTGCAGTCTCCCACAGAAGGTGGATGGTGTATCTCCAAAGATAAGAAAATGTAAAGAAAGAAAAAGGAAACAGATAAGAGGAAGAGTGGGGGAGACTAGCAATTTTTGGACAATAAGAAAATGGAGGTTTTTCCCACCATCCTTAGGAAATCCAGCAGAACTTACAAACTAAGTGCAAGTTCCCTTCATATTTATTGCAATCCCTGCAAGGTATTTGGGTGGGCAGCTCAACAGTTGATTAATGAAAATCTGTTTCTATGTTCTGTGATTCAATGGTAGATTAAGTTATCAAAACCTACTGTGTTATTAAAAGCACATACTGAGTAAATGTGATAACTGAGCAAAGAAAAGGGGAAAGGCCTCTTGTGCTTGCTTACTTGCTTGCTTGTGATTATTATAAATTTCAGGGGGCAGGTGAAAAGAACTCACTGGACCAAAGACAAATCTAGCCAGTTCCTCAGCAGACTGGATTAACTCATAAAAGCAATACTTAACCTTCCCTCTGGAATTAACACCAATGTAGGGTAATTTCCAACATTAATTCTTCGGGCAAACACATAACAGTTTGATTAATGATAAATGATCCCTAAGAAACAATGACTGAGTTCCTACATATCTATTAACATAGACTGGTGAAGTTGTTAAAGGGTTGGAACACTGACAGATGATCCAGGCTCCACCCTTCACTACAATAATCGGGAAATCAAAGTCCAGAAAGTTCAAATGAATTTTCCCCAAATCACATAGCAATGTAATGTCAGGACAAGACTGGAACCCAGGCCCCTGGGCGCCTCGTTGTTGTGATAGTTCCCAGAGCTAATGTATGTGAAGAGCATGCATATATAAGGTAGACTTCAGACGCTGCATCCTTCCTTTCTATTAGCATGCTTCATGGGGGCCTGAGACATTAGACATAATTCCACTCAACTAGCCATTTAGCTGATAGAAAAAATTGAAACCCACAGAAAACCAACTTGTCCATAATCACACAACTAGCTCCTGGCCGCTGGCCAGCCTGGAACCTAACTCCTGATTCCAAGTCACCTGTTCACTCCTCTATACACTGCCCCTCTCTCGTTATTAAGTAATCTCATATTATTCATGATGACTCTATATATCCCACATATGGAACCAGCTCTGAAAGTTTATCTCAACCATTTCATTGCAAATTTAAAAAGTGTCCAAAAAACATTCCAACCAAATTAAATATCATGATTGCTGTCCACCTAAATTCTGTATCCAGTGTTCAGGAGAATCAACCTCTTTTATCCATCTGTTGTGGTGCAAATGAGAAACCAAGAAATGTGGACAAACAGACAGGACTTCCTGCAATCTGAGCTTCGGGGTCCAGATGAGGAAAAGACTCCACTTGTGCTAAGCTGAGAATTAGAAATGAACCTCAGTGTGAATCTGTCTTCCCCATCCTTGAGACTTGGTTTTCTGGTCTATAAAATGGAGATAATATTGTCATAGGAGTCATACTTAAGAATATATAAATTATTCTATATTTTGAAAAGAGACTAATAATAGAGCCTAGAAAAACAGTAGGTGGGCTCCAGTTTTTTGCCTGGGAATCTTCTCTGCCACTCTCATAGAACCTTATACACAAGAACCAACACACACACACACACACACACACAAACAAACAAACAAAAAAAACAGTAGGGGATACAGGTTACCTAACTAAAACAAAAACAAAATGAATTTCAGAAAAGCCACCATGCAAAGATTCAGAATTATATTTAAAAGTACTCAGTTGGCAAAGATAGCTGTTAAATAGCAAGTAAACTCCCATTGGGCTTTTCTAACACCAAATTCTTTCTTTCAGCCTTCAAATAAGAGGGCGATTTTTGTTTTATCACCCAGAATTTAATATTCCAAAAGGTATGTGAAACAAGTTAAACTACTTGCATATTTTCACTTACATAACATTTACATAGCACATCAGCTTTTATTTTTTCCAGATACTAGGAGATGAAGCTTGGTATATAATCCTATGGGAGAATAAACAGAAAACTGTCTCTCTTCTTAATATATTAGTGCCCTGTAATCCAGACCATATGATCTGTAAACTATATAAAAATTAAATCATATTGACAGTCTTAGGCAGAAAGGCAACTAAGTAGAAACAATTTTTTTTTTAGGACTGTAGTATGTGGAATATTAAAATCACATGTTGTGTTATTCATTTTTCTTTGGAAACCAAATAGATTTCTCTTGCATAAGTATATCTCAAGATATTTGTTTATCTTACAGTTTTTCTATTAAAGGTATTACGAAGACATTGAATTAGTGAAAAATGTAATTTGGTTTCTGCTTAGGTGGAAACACAATAATGACTTTATTGCCATGGTTTTAATAATAAGACACATAGACCTTGAAAAGGTAGATATGTGTCTTTTATAATAAAACCCATGGTCCTGACATCTGGCTGCATTTTTTAAGTAAACAAAATCATCTATTCAAACATAAGACCAACTGTGAATAAACACAATAAACAGGTCTACAATATTAGCTTGGGGAACGTTGTAGCCAATGAAGAACTAAAACACCTACACACCCTTTACCTGCACCTTGAATGCTTAACAGAATACCTCTGTGTTCCCGGCTAAACTATAGCTGGAGGGTATGTCTTTTCCCAAATTCCTTCATACTTTTTTCTTTTTCATTTAACAGGAATATGCCATGTCTTGGGATAGCCTTCTGAAATTGGAAGAGCGGAAGGGAGGAGAACAATGAAACTGTAGGAAGGCTGTCAGGCATGTTCTAGCTGGGCTTTCCTTATCACCAAGTGGGAGGCAGGAGGGGGACCCTGCACAAGCAGCCTAGATTTTACCCTACCACCAGCGAGAGCCAGAGTGAACACTGGGAAGCCCCAGGCAAGTTTACAGGGAACAGCTTCAACTTGTTTAGGGCCAGTGTACTCCCCCAGGACCTGGGAAGGTCTTTTAAAAATTCAATAGCTTGGTTACAAGATGGTAGGTACTAATCTGTCCCACTGTGCATGATAATAAGACAACTGCCACCAGGAAGGTAGGCCCCCCAGTGACAATTCCTTTACATAGCATTCTAATGTTGAATTAATACTAAGAGAGCTGGAAATGAGATATGCCACCTGAACTGTGATGACCTTTCTCCCTGCCTGCAGAGCACAGTTTTACTTTCTAAGGTCTCTCCCTATCTGAAGAGGGCTATTCTTATTTTTAAACTTTAAAAATGCCATCTTTCTTTGGTTCTCAGATTTTACACAGGCAGCCAAGCCAAGGATTAGAGGACACTGTATACTCCCTACACTGCTATACTCTCTACACTGAGTCCTGAACACAAGGGAGTAGAACTCCTGCCTAAGAAGTCTCTGGTCTGCACCATCTGCATGGACAAATCCATTTCAAAGGGGACTTAAGTCTCCATGCAGGAGTTCTATTTTAAGGGAACTGAACTGGGAACACAGATGTTTCTTCAGTTAGCAGAGCTGGCAGAACAGCTCCTGGACCAAATCCGAGTTCTTAATGCAAGAAGGGGCCTCGGAGAGCATCTACTTCAACTCACTCATTCAACTAAGGAGGAAACTGAGGCCAAAGAGGCAGTTAGGTGGCACACCCAGCAAGTGGGCAGTGTTCTGATGACAAGTCCTATGCACTTTCCATTACACTATAATTCGCTTAAAAAAAAATAAAAATCCTACGCTGACTTCAACCTTGGAACTCCTATAGATTCGCGTCAAGAGCTTTTCCCTCCCCCAACAGAGTCCATAAATCCTCCACCCCCTCCCACTCCCAATTCCTTTAACTCCCACCGCCCTTTAAGGGGTAGCTTCCAACGACTCCCAACAAAAATGGAGCATCTCCTCTACTTTCCGGGAGTGCGATTAAATTGTGGTCCCAAATGGGGTTCCTGGCCCCTATGGCACCAAGTCAGAGAAAGGGTTAGTTAAAACGGATGCCAGCGAAACTGCCTACCACCTGGCACACAGTAGGCACACAAGAGGTGCTTACTGAATGGAACCCAGCAACAAGCCCGGGGAGAGCACTGTCCCAACCCTGGGGCATTCAAGAGAACAGCAAGTGAAAAGTTGAGCTTGCAAATCTGGCCTGGCGAGGCAGCGGCGGCGGAAGGGCTGGATGTTTACATACAGCCGGGGCCAGGCAGCGCGGCTCCAGGCAGGAGCCCGGCTCGCCCAGAGATCCATTTGACTTGGATGAAGGGCGACAAGTATATGCTGGCTCTGGATCACGGTTCAACCACCTTCCCCTCTGCTAGAGATGGAGCCCACCCCGCCGGTGGGGTTGTGCCCGGGCTCCAGAAGAAGACTTGCTCTTAAGGGGCCGGTTTACCGTGGCCCGCGAGCGCACAGCATGCCCAAACACACTAATCCACAGGCCGGGAGGTTGGTGGGATCGCGGAGGGCGGGACCGTGGGCCAGAGCAGCCCGGGCGCCCAGGAGGGCTGCGGGGCCCCACTGCTGACAGCGCGGCGCGGCCCTGGGACGCGGCCGCGGGAGGGACTAGGACGCGCGCCGAGGGCCGAGGGGCAGCGGGGCTGAGCTCACCCATGAAGAGGCAGAAGAGGTCGAGGCAGATGAGCAGCACCCGCTTGCTGCCGCTCTTCCTCTGGCTGTTGTTGAGCGCCGGGCTGCCGCCGTTCTTGCTCTCCGGGACGATCGCCTTGTCGTACTTGTAGTTTTGCATGGCGCTGGCTGCGGCGCGAGCCTCCAGCCCCGTGAAGACACCCCACGACTTCAGCCACACACTCAGACGCCCGGGTCGCCTTTCTGGCAGGGCTGCTCCGGAGAGTGGCGGATCGGCAGGGTTCGGGGAGCGGCGGCAAAGAGTGCAGCCCGGCTGCCTGTTTCCAGCTGCACACGGTGGTGTTTTCTGCTCCCCCTGGGCGCCTCTGCTTTCCTCTCTCAACTCCCAAGTCGTTCGAAAGTCCAAGAGGGAAGAGAGCCAAATCCCGAGCAGGAACTTTTGCAGAGCGGCGCTGCTCGGAGAGCGCGGGTCTGGCGTATGTGTGTGTGCGCGCGCGAGGTAGCGAGTGGGCAGCGCGGGCGCCTGGCCACCTTCCTCCGCAGCTGGCTACTTAATGAATGGGAGCTGCGCGGAGCCCTGCAACTCCGCAGCGCCTGCCCCACTCCAACTTTGCCTCCTCCTCCTCCTCTTTCTCCTCCTCCTCCTCCTCCTCCTTCTGCTGCTGCTGCTGTCGCTGCGGCTGCTGCTGTGATCGCTCGGTTTGTTTTCTGCACTTTTATTTCACGAGCTCCTTTAAAAAGAGGCAGAGAGAGAGAGAGAGGGCCCTCCTTACTTGGCTCTGATGGGACTCCGAAAGCACAGCCCCTTCCTAAGCTGCCTAAAACGTAGGATAATTAAGGCCACATTTTCCCCCACCCCCTCCAAAAAAAAAAAAAATCCTAAAAGGAAAAGTTACTCTCAAACCAGAGAATCCGGGAGCCCCTAGCGTTCAGAAACACCAAATTGTCACAAAAGGAAAAAATATATAAATAAAAAGAAACATTTTCTTGCTGGCCTTGGGTGATACAAAAGTTAGGATTGTACTACCAAAATGCACTGCTCCTTATTTATGAATTTGGGATTTCCAAGTCTTTATTTTGACTTGAATTAGAGTATTACAGTTTTAAAAGAAACTAGTTGGGTTTGTTTGTGCTTGTTTGTTTGTTTTCAAGATCTTCTCATTCGGTGCCAGGTCCTGAGTGCCTTGATTAGGAGGAAACTATGGTGAAAAAGACTTCCGGACCCTGGAGCCACATACCTGGACCTGAAAGCTGGCTGGGTCTCTGTGCCTGTTTCCCCCCTTGTAAACTACAGATGATAACTGTTTCTCCCAAACACAACACAACAACATTAGAAATTTAATTAGCATATGCATAAATTTAATCCATACATGCTCCTGGGATAGTGTCTCTTACACAGGAAGTACTCTGTGAGGGTTAGTCATTACTTTTATTCCTGATTCTAGGGCAGAGGATTCCCAAGCTTTTCCAGTAGCTGCCAGTCGAGCTGGCTGCAAGCTGTGCTGGTTTCCAGCTCTGTGTGCCACCAAGGGGAATTCCAGGACAACAGGAATGCTGTGGGGCTCCAGTTTCAAGCAATCTAATGAGTTTCTCTGGAGGCTGCCATATTGTTTTTACTTATTTTGTATGAGTTCTTCTTCTTCTCCTTCTCCTTCTAGATAATGAAGATTTCTAGGGAAAAGGCCTTCTTTTACATCTTCTGTAGTATCTAGAAGAACCAAACTGAAAACATGGAAGGCAATAACTAGACATTTCTTCCGAGAGTCTCTTTTTGTGATCCAGAAATAGAAATAAGTGTGCCTTTTTGATGCATTATATCTTCTTCCTTACATTGACTTGTTAGGGGGTTCATTAACCTACATCTAACCATCAAGCAACTACTTCCATTTCTTGAAAACAGTCCTTTCACACTCCACACGCCTGCTTTCCTACATCTTGGCTCATATATACCTTTCCCTTCCCAGACTGCAAAATGCTCCTCCTTAGTGTCCTCTGAAATATCACCTCATCCCTGTACCCTTTCCTGACCCCTCCACAGAATTAATCTCACCCTCAACACTTTGTTTATAACACTCTTGTAACACTTATCTCAATCTGATTTGTTGTTATCATTAGCAAAACTAGTCAGTGGTAAATCACCAGCCCCATGGTATCTCCCTAGTGCTCAAGCCTTGATGTCTGCTGAAATGAGATCAATTTGGATTGGATAAGAACAAGAAAAGCCAGGCGTGGTGGTGCACGCCAGCAGCTTGGGAGGCTGAGGCAGGTGGATCTTGAGTTCAAATCCAGTCTCAGCAAAAGTGAGGCACTAAGCAACTCAGTGAGACCATGTCTCTAAATAAAATTCAAAATAGGCTGGGGATGTTGCTTAGTGGTCAAGTGCCCCTGAGTTCAATCCCTGATATGAAAAGAAAGAGAGAGAGAGAGAGAGAGAGAGAACAAAATTGCTATCTTCTGGAAGCAAGAATGACTGAATCTCCAAGGCAGTTTTGGAACTAAAGAATCTATCTGCTATCAAACAGTTTTCAGGGAGAAATGCAGCCTCCTGTCATGTTTAGCAGAAACAATACAACGCCAAGCTCATAATTAATGAAATTCTAAAAGGAATTCAGGGTTCCAGTGTATTTTCCTTACCCACCCAATCCTCTTGGTAAATTATGATTGTCCTAGAAATTCTAGGTCGTCAAACCACACCTTCTGAATTCCAATATAAAAGTACCCGAAAGCTTTCCCCAAACCACAGCCCCCTCTCATCTTTTCTGTCCTTGGGTTCCAAACACCCCTGAGCATCTGTGCCCCTCAGAGGGCTACCTATATTCATACCTCTGTATCCCACTCTGTCTTAATACACTTGACACAGGTAGCCCATAATTTGCCTCTCAAAGATTGCCAGCTCTGGGGTTGGGGCTGTAGCTCAGTGGTAGAGAACTTGCCTAGTAGGTTTGAGGCCCTGGGTTTGATGCTCAACACCACATAAAAATAAACAAACCAATAAATAAATAAAGATACTGTGTTCATCTACAACTGAAATATATATATATAAATTAAAAAAAGAGAGATTGCTAGCTCTGGGCATGTAGTGAAGTCCAGAGCCCAAAAAAAAAAAAAAAAAACTGTAGCAAGTAAATTTCAGCTATCTGCCTTTGAGCTTTCTATCTGCTTTTCATTATCTGTGAGATGACTTTTATTTATTAATTTAAGAATAAAAATATTTTTAAATCAGATTTTTACCATTATTGAACAGTTTCACCATTGTTGGTCTCTTTAAACATTACTGGGTAAGAGTGTTAACTCTAGTCTGTGCTAGATAAGCTACTAAGAACCTACTTGCCTTAATGTTCTCTGGATTAAACCCCAACTACTTATTAATGAAGATAAAAATCTGATATTTCAACAGTATATAAAAGGGAAAATAAGTGGAAGTTGAAATAAGAGTTTTACATTTCCATTTATGAGGCTATGTGGGGTATTTTTTTCATAACTAACAGATCATAGTGTTAATTGATGCATGTAGTTCTGTGCAAACAAAAATTTATTTGAATATCTCTTCAATGGAACAGAATACTACAAATCCTCATTAAAATTGACTTGAACAAGTTATAAAATATAGTGTCAGTATGATTCTTTAAAGAATCAGATATAAAACAGCCAGCTGGATACACAAGTTTGAAGGCCTCTTGGCTTTACATTTTTTCTTTTTCTCTCTTTTTATTATAATTTTTCTTCTTTTAAACATTAAAGCTGAACAATCTTACCAATAAATAAAATGCAGTGAAACAGACTTGGTAGTTTAGAATGGTGTCATTTCAAAGTAATTAGGTAATTAAAATTCCTGGTAAACATAGCTTACCCAAATTCACACATTAAAATGACATCCAGTTCACTAAACGAGTCTGTATAAAAACTATCCCATCAGCAGGGATAAATGCCTCTTTAAGATTAACTTATTATGTGTGGGCAACCACAGCACATCATTCTTAAATAACTGATCCCTCCCAAGAGATTGAAATAGGCTTCGTTTCTAAGATCTCCTGTTACCTCGTAATTTTCTTACTCTCTCTTTTTAACCCTTAACAACTAATAATTAATCATTTTTAGTTTTTGAGAAGGTATAAATTGTCTCTGGGAATATTTAAGGGAAAGTAGCTGAGTCCCTTTACATAAAATTGTATACTCAAAGTCAGAACTCAAATTTCTTAAGCCATGGAAATTAACTTCAGAAGGGCCCATTCATTTGGTTTCTTTTAAAATTGTTACAGTCCACCTCTGGTATTCACTAAACAAAGTTTGTTGGCTTGCTGTTGTAGGAGCTGGATTTGATATCATGAGGTATTCCACAGGACTGCATGGAGGAGCCCAATAACACTCTTGAGTAAGGGCAGGAAGGACATAGGATATGAGGTCAAAGAGTCTTGGATCTGCTGTTTGACCCAAGACAAGCCCAGTAACCTCTCTGATCCTCAGTTTCCTCAACTTTAAAATGGGGCTGATATATTTCTTTGGTGTGGAGAAGACTTTAAAAAATCATAAAATGAAACAATATATTTTGAACATACTTGGTATTCAGAGGCATTCGATAAATGTTGGTTGAATGTTAATATTTTAAATGAACAATATAGAGCTTGGGATATAGCTCAATTGTAGAACACTTGTCTAACATGCATGAGGCTGGGGATTCAATACCTAGCACATGTGCGCGCACACATGTGCATTACGTGAAAACTATTTCTATAGTACACCTAATCAAATACAGGTATTCAAAAAGCGTTTATCAAGTACCAGCTCTGAATATGCCATTTGATTTCATTCATCCTGCCTTAAGTGCATTAGTATCTTCGTCATCTTTATTCCTTATTTTTAAACACTCAATTGTTAGAGGTTTTTGTAGGTACTAAATCAAAGATGATGATTTTTTAAAAACCATCTAATTACACATTGTTTTCTTTAATATTGTTTGTGAAATTCAAGAAACACATTTGCTTAAACATCTTCTTCTGCTTTCATTTTCTAAGTACTTTCACTACTATTTTTTTTTCCCTTTCAGCTCACTGAAGTAGGTGGAGTTGCTATCATTAGCCGCACTTAACAGATGAGAAAAACTGAGGCAAGCCCATTTAAATGAATGGAGCTGGTTTTCCCCCATGGATAAAGTGGAAGTGATTCTAACATTAGCTAAAGGTATTTGCTTGGGTTGGAAGTAAGGAAAGTTCTGAAGCACCACAATCCAAGTCTCTTTATATATATATCTCAATCTCATAAGGTCTTGCCCACAAAGCTGCTGAGGAATTTCTGCTTCACAGGGTAACTTAGAGGGGCTGCAGACTTAGCCTTATGTTTGTATTGGACAGAGGAGAAGTTTTATTTTGTTTTGTTCTTTCTTAGAGAATTGGAAGGGAACAACATTGTTGCACCTTTTGTCTCTGAAACAAGAGGTTCTGGTTCATAATTTGTCAAGCGCTTGTTTTGTTACAAAAAGAGAGTTTAAGAACACAAAGCAGTAGTGTTACTATAACTCAACCTTGAAATCATGTCAAGTTTTTTTTTTTACCTTTCTTCAATCAGTAATCTTTTCCTTAGCTAGAAATTAGGACAGTTAAAAGCTAAACATGTGATAATTCAAAAGTTAATTTGTTAATTAAAAAAAAAAAAAAAAAAACAGCGTCATCAACAAACCAGAATCTAGAATGGCTGGAGAAACTTAAAAGATGCT